CAACATTGATATCGTTCTTCCATAGTGCTTGTCCCAACAACATTGATATCATTCTTGAATAGCACTAGTCACAAAAACATCGATATCATTAATGAATAGTGCTTGTCCCAACAACATTGATATCATTCTTGAATAGCACTAGTCACAAAAACATCGATATCATTAATGAATAGTGTTAGTCGCAACAACATTGATATCATTCTTGAATAGCACTAGTCACAAAAACATCGATATCATTATTGAATAGTGTTAGTCGCAACAACATTGATATCGTTCTTCCATAGTGCTAGTCCCAACAATATTAATTTAATTTTTGAATAGTGCTGGTAGCAACAACATTCTTGAACTTCTTTGTCATAAAACACAACTACAATGATTTGAAAAAGGATGAAATAATATAGTACTCAGTCACTTACAGGTCTGTTTTAGGAGAAAAAAAACGCTTTTTTTAACTTTTGTACCCCCTCTGCTGGACGAATAAATGAAGCAGGCGATTAGCAGGTAAATTTCAGTAAGAAATTAAATGGTGTGAATGGCGTAACTTCATCTTTATTACATTGTCATCTGGGATCATTTACAAAACAACAAAGATGTACTTGACAGCTCAGTTTAAAATTGTTAGTTATTTGACCTTTAAATATAATGTGAAATATTGAACCTATCGAGGTTTGGATTGCAACTGACATTTGCTAGTTAAATATTTTTCAAAATCTGTATTTCTTAATTGCAGAGAGTTGAGTGTAGTACATTAAAATGAATTTGAATATGTAAATTAGCGAGTCATGTGACAAACAAAACTAAAGTAAAGTCGCGGTGGAACGGAATGTATAAGAACAACGTTTTGACATTGCTTGGCGTTTTGTAAGTAGTGTTATGCCACTGAAAATTGATCGCTTTCCAAAGCAAAATCTACATATATTTAGGTCATAAAATATGCTGAAATCGGGGATTTAGAATTTCCAAGAACGAGGATATCTCTTATACTTAATGGTATTGAAAAACAAAGTAATATGGATCAACTTAGAGTACCAAGACTATCTGGAAAGAGACCCAAAACAAGTCGTACCCCAGCCGTGGTAAGCAAATTTCGACGTCTTGTTACAGTTGTAATTTATGAACACAAAGCCCTTCACGTGCCCAAGGCAATAGTGCGTAACATAATCAAGAACTTACGCCTGGAAAAGCGACACAAGTCATGTGTACACATGCTGCTTCCACGATATGTCCATTCATTTAGCTGAAGAATGAAACGGGTAATAATGCTCTTCTATATGAATACATATCGTCAAGTTAGCTACTATAGCGCCTATGGATATTTATCTTGTCTAAGAGTTAAAACGGGATCTGGGAACTCTCGTCCTCGTACACTATATCGATTATGGATAACCTGCAGGAAGGAGGGGTGTACGTTTGACATCACAGCTTTGCAACAGAGTCTTTTGTAGTGGAAACTATGCTGCAGGGCTAGTTTCAGGATCACAGTCGTTAGATAAAGTATGAACAGACGTAAGTACATAGACCATAACGACGTGGTGAGGCTCCAAGATCGTTTTAATACAACGTACTTTGTATTTTATTTATAGTTATTGAATGAATAACCAAAAGCCCTCCAGTGGCATAGTGGTATGTCTGCGGACTTATACTGCTAAAAACCAGGTTTCGTTGTGCTAAACAACAACAACATCTGAAGTAAAAAATATATATACAATGAACTTTTTATTTGTGTTTGATACTATAAGATACTGCAATCACTAATCTGATATCTAATCGTGATACAAAAAATTTCAGAAAAAAACAGCTGGTAAAATATTTCAGAGTTTATTACACGGACAACATGCTTTGGTAATTAGGAAAATGGATGACGTTGCGGCTTGTCTGTTGGCTTCTTCACTAGGAGCTCCAATAATCATCAGTTTCTGTTTCTATTTAAAATTTTACTGTAAGTGTTCTACTAATTTCTACTTCCCTAATATGGCTCTGAAAGAACAATAATTACCGTAACTTTAAATTAAAAAACTCAATTATACGTAGTAATACATGAGATATATGGTGGAATCGCTAAAACAACTTGTAAACCGAATTATTTGACGTTAATTTATTGGAATAAACAACTAATGCCACGAGTTGTTATTTATAAACATATTTGGTCCGGTATGGCCTGGTTGTTACGGTATGACCTGGTTGTTACGACACTCGATTCACAATCTGTGAGTCACGAGTTCGAATCCTGACACTGAACATGCTCGCTCTTTCAGCTGTGAGGGCGCTATAGTGCGACAGTCAATTCCCATATTCGTTGTTAAGACTAGCACAAGAATTAGCGGTTCGTGATGTTGATTAGCTGCCTTCCTTCTAGTATATCCTTTCAAACTAGGGACGGCTAGTGCAGATAGCCATCGAGTAATTTGCGCGAAATTAAACAAATAAATATAAACATCTTATTTGTTCTATCTGTTCACGTGGCGATCAAACTCAGAACTATGTGTTTGCTGTCTGAATATATAACTTGTTTTAAATCAACACTCTTGGCTTTGTGGTATTTGATCTTGTCTGAGTTTGGTTTTAATTTCTCATGCATGAAGTGTAAGATTCATCCAACCGAATTCATAGCGCTGTTTAAAATAATTATATACTTAAAGAGAATTGGATTTATTACATTTATCTAACTAATAAGATTTACTTCCCAAGAAACACCATATTATGGAGATTATTGAACTGTTACACGTTGCTTGCGTTAGCATGCTAAGCTGTTTGTGCAAAACTTTTGTCTTACTTATTGTAATTTAATGACATTATCTAGGCTTATGGAGAAAATCTGTGTATCTCCTAGGTGAGGAAGAATTATCATACTTATTAAAACCTGATCCATTAAATCCTGTGAAAATATGTTTATTTGGGCTTAGCTGTTCCATATTATTTGTCTCAATTGTTAGTAGTCGACTTTTAAAGACAAAGTTGTACTTTGTTGCTTGTGTAAGAATAGTTTAGTAGGATTATGGACGTATTATTGATAATTGTGCGACATGGTGATTCGATGTTTTTTTAACTAACGAATATCTCCAGGATAAGTTCTGAATAATTACTTTTAATCAATAAAAAAACTTTCTTTTTTTTCAGCATAATCCATATATATGCCTTACGTTTCAGCATTTGAAGAGATTTTACAAAGAGCTTTCTGAAATTGTATATGTATACACCTGCCCAATTTTTACCAAAAAATATGATAAAATTTACTTGTATTTGATATACACCTAGCTAATGGTTGAACTACAACGGATATCACCAAATATCTTTTGAAAGGCAAATATCAACATTATTTTTCAAACAACTGTATAGTTGATAGAACTTAAACCAAAGAATAGTACAATCTTGCTGTGTAGGTAGCATAGACAAATAAATACAGCAACGTCATAATAAAATATGAAAATATATTAATAATAATAATACGAAATCAATGCAAAGAAAATCAGTTTATGTAAGGGTGAAAGGTGAACAGCAATGATTATTAATTTTACAGCTAGCTAGAGCATTACCATTATTGTTTAAGTGAGCAATATGCATATTGTTGTTTAAGACACTACATATTAGCTATAAGTAATAAAAGTAATTTATGCAGTGATTAAGCAGAAAGTATTGTTTTTACATGAAACGAATAAGAATGTTCACATAATATATTCACAAAAACAAAATATTAATGATCTCTACCAGTAACATATTTCATTTACATACGCTAGTTTAACAGTTTTAAAATAAAGAAAAAGCTATATATTTTACTTATTTAAGAGAAATGGTTCTCGCGGTAAGTTGTTAGATCACGTTTCACGTGTGAGGCGAGAGAATCAGTTACAGTTTATTGAAAATAACAGCACGGTGAGTTTTTGTTTTTTGTTTTTGTTGTTTTTATCTGACTAAATTGATGGAAAAAAAAGAGAGAGAATGTAAATGTATTGAACGACGTGCGGTGTTTCAATGATATAGCAATAAAATTAATTTCCAAATAAATTTTGATGGTGAAATTCAGTTAAGAAATTTAACTTCTTAGGCCTACTTGAATAGTTTTTTAACGTGTAAAAAATCGTACAATGATGTGTAAGAAAAATTGCATCAAAAGTTCTTTAATGCATTATTTTTTTCAACGAAACGCTATAACCTGAAAATACATTTCCAGAAGGAAAATAAATTTAAAATATAAATTCTTAGTAGAACTGGCGTGTATATGATGTAATAAACCCTCCTAGTTGTGAAAAAAAAAGACACTTCAGAGAAAACAATAGAGACAGAGTAAAGCCATTAAATAATTTAAAACGTGGCAATCTTTGTATGAAGCTGGTAATATTATATAGCATTAATTAAACTAGCATGATATAGTAATAACAGCTGCGTTTATTAAACCAGTTTCTTGTATTGTTTGATTTTATAACTGTGAAAAAATTATCCGTCCATTAGTTATTTTGGTGGTCGTGTTGGAAAATTATAGTTAATTTTTTAACAAGCAAATTGTCTTTGAATAACAGTTTCTTACAATATTTCATTTCCCCCTTGACGAAATAGTGGTCAAAGTAGTGAGACTAATCAGAGTATTTAGATAAACGAGTGGCAAAAAAGAAAGAAGTGGGAGAGCTATAAATGTGGTCCTGCTGATATGAACAGAAAGACCGAACTTTTAGCATTATAAAACTTGTTTTAGCTTGTACAATTCTGTATAATAATATACTGATCCTCCTCATAATACCGTGTATTTTATGTAAATTATTAGGAACAGAGGTTTGTATGAATGTGATTGGTTGGTTTCTGTGACGTATACGCTAATGCTCGAGGTCATGTTTTGTTTATTTATAATTTATAACTTCTTAGTGATTCCAGATTCACTCAGTGAAATTTTTTCATGTGAAAGTTCACCAGTAGATCAAAGGTAAGTTTACAGATTTACAACGCAAAAATTTAGGGTCCGATTTCCCATGGTAGATAGAGCGTAGATAGAATATTGTGTAGATTTGCGCTAAAACAAATCTAAGTGAATAGATTTTTGAGACCCTATATTTCAGTTTATTTGTTAGAGCTTACCTAAAGTGAACAAATAAATAAAAAGTGAACTCAAAGTGCACCAGTTATACACATTCAGTTGATCTATAAAAAAAGAAGTCTTATAGTAAAGAAACGTTAATCGTAGTATATATATATATTCTTTTTAACTGGTTACAACTGCGTGAAAAGACCGCTCTTTAGTAATGTGTGGTGAACGTGTTATTTGATCATTAGATAAGGATGGTAAGCTTATGATTACTATATTTAATACACGTAAGTTCTGACATGTTTGGAAAGTATAACCAACTTTTTCACGAGGAACTTGTCTTTTAAAGAATTTTGTTTACTTACAACATTGTATTCCCCTATGGTAAACGAGTAACAGTAAATATATAGATCAAAACAGTATTTTTTTTTTGTAAATTACATTTTAAAGTTTAGTTTTAACCACGTGGGAAGTTTAGCTTTTTCTTGTCCTTTAATAGTTGCTTTAGTCATGATTAGAGAACAGTACAAATGTAGTCAATCTGGGATGTTGTTAACGTGATATTTGTTTTTGTTCTCCCTAATTTCTGCTTTAACTATAATCAGAGAAAGTAAAAATTATTCGCTCTGTTCTATTTACCTGATAATCATTCTTGAACTCATGTTCCATGAAGCTCAACTGTCGAAGCTCCCAGCTCAGTTCAAAGGCCGTTAGAATAGGGTCCTTACTAGAAAGTGCGATTAATGAGGGCGAAGCTAGAGCAAGATAAGCATTGATACGGGAACGAGAATGTCGTAAACTGTCCTCCGAGCTCGCTACTACGCAGTCTTTGCATCCGCACCGGACGTGATGGGGAGTTGGAAGTGTAGCTCCACGATCTAGCAATATTTTTATGATTTCATAATTGTCCCGATGTGCGGCAAGGGTCAAAGGTGTGATATCTGGAGTGAAGGTTGCTATGTCTCTATCTATAGCTTCCCAACTCTGAAAAAACACAAAAATATAATTATGATATATTTTGTATTTTACTCATATATATATATATATACAACATAACTGCTATTCATATATTATCGTTGCACACAATTCAGAGGGTGTCTTCCTTTTTTCATCATTTCTATAATGTTATAATAAAAGTACGAACACTTATCATCTTTTATGGCTTGAATTTGATTGAATTTTCTGTTACACACACGCAAATATTATACTATAGAGGGTTTGTTTGGAATTAAGCACAAAGCTATACAATGGGGTATCGAAACCCGGTTTCTAGCGTTCGCAGACATGCCGCTTATAATTATAATTTGACGTTATAGGCTGACATTAAAAAACTTTCCAAATGTTGGTTTTCATTATTAATAATAAAAAACGGTACACTTTCTGAAAAACGTACTGAGGCTGAACAAACCGAGCTGTTATCATAAAAATAAAATATTCACAAGAATTTGGCTGCGGAATACTTTTTACTTTCAACAAATTAGTTCATCGGTTTTAGTCATAAGATGCATTTGACATATAATCAGCTACTTGTCAAATAAAAACTACAATCATTCCAATTAGCTTGGTTTATTATATTATTTCAAAATACTTTCCGCATTTATTCAGGTAAAAGCTATAAACTTGGTCTGAAAGTAAGATTTACAAGTCGAAATTATTAAGTTAACAATGTAATCGACATCACATGATGCTAAAAACGTGAGATATTTCGGTTAATTTTTATTCTTAGCTAGAATTTCAACTTAGTATATCGAAATTGTACTTATGGTTTTTTTCATCACCGTGTCGGGCCTGGCGTTGCCTAGTGATTAGCGTGCTTCGACTGTTAAGTTGAGAGCTTATCTTTCTTCCCTTGCTACAAAAACACGCTTTGTACTTCAGAGACGTGGATACACTTTGAAAGTGATGATTAAATCCAATTATTCAGTGAGATAAGAAAAGCCCAAAAGTTGGCGGTGGGTGTTATTCACTATCTACCTCCACCTCTAGTCTGAGACATCAGTTTAAAATTAGTGACGGCTATGCACTGATAGTTCTTCTATGGTTTTGCGAGAAACTTCGCAAAAACAACATTAACCAAACAAAAAGTTCCTTCAGCACTTTTGTGATGACTGAAATAGTCACGAATTTCGATCTTCCATAACTAGTATAGAAAGTTTCTTTAGTCATGCATGTAGTATAACATTCTTGTTACCCGAATGTCGTAAACATGTGCTAATGTTTATCTTCTCTGGGGAGGGGTGTGTCCATCTCAAGAAAATACAAAGATGCTTCTATAAATTGATATAAGTTAATTTTTTCTTCCTTATAAATGTTATTTCGAATAGTTGATGAGATAAGCAGCATTGGATTCTGGTACACCTCACTTGAACATTTTTGGTTGAATTAGTATAAAAACTGTACATCTCTTGTACCACCTTGGTTATCCGTTTTTGAGCTTATCCTTTTGATATCAGCGGGTCTAAATGACACACTTTTACAACAAAAATTTTCATAAGTTTGGCTTTCTTAAAACTAAATGCCACCCCTTTACAATAGAAACTTTCCTAATTTTGGCTTTCATAAACTTTTTTTTCCTTCAAAATACTGAAATTCAATTTATAGTAATCATTTTCATCATATTTCTGATTTCAATTCAATTTTTTTTACTTTTTATCCAGTAGTTTAATGTATAACTAAATACATTACTAAAATTTTAGTAATAAAAGTAACATCGTGAAATATTTGTACGGCTTGTACCTTCTAATTTTTAATAAGTATTTCCATGAGTTACACTGAAGCATATTGTATAGTAAAGTACTTCAAAGTTTTCGTGACACAATAGTTTCAAACATTCGATGTTTACTGTACTACATCCTTGACATTACACTCAAGTCAACCCATTCTACATACTCAAAAAAAAATAAACTTACGATTAATTTTCTTTGAGTATGTAGAAACACAAGAATCTATCTACCATAAAAACTCCACAGAATGTACTGACACATGCGAGCAGTAAACGCAGCTGCTAGTCCATTCAAGCCAGCCAAGAAACACGTGGAACTGACTTTAATATTTCTATCCAAAAGAAAATGAATCGACCTAAACCCTAAGTCGTCTATACAGTAAACAAAACATTAAATAAAAACCTTCTAGTTTTTGTGATTACTAAGTTTTCTCTTTAAATAGTGTAATGTAGCCGCACTTGTGGATTGAGACATGGTATCATTGATTTTGTTTAGTTGGTTTAGTCGAAGGCTCAGTGAAAACTGAATAAAACTTCCACTTACTCGTTTATAGTCATATGCAGTGCTTTACTAGTTTACAAGCAAAAGTAACCGTATATCGATCAAACTTTCTAACGTATCATAACCACTGTACAGTAAGAAGTACTATGTTTAATTAATTAGTATGTCATCTAAGGTGTTATTAGTTGTGATGGGATACACGTCATAACGAAGCACAATTTCTGTTACACCGAACATTCCCGTATTTATATATCTATAAAGAAATGTCTATATTTAAGTATGTATATCTGTTAATAAGGTTTAAAATTCGGTGACTATTTTAATAGGACAAAAAATATTGAAATTTTGCTTCATTGTATTATACCACTCTTATTTGACCATTCTAATGAAATAGCAGTTACCAAGATATCTTTTCTTGACTGGAATTTCTTGACGGGTTGGGAAGCGTTTCACATGAATGTGTAGGTCACTTCGTTCGATCAATATCTTTATCTTCAAATAATGTGTCAAGCGATTTAGCATGGTGTAGGCGAGCTTGTTATCCTGATTTGAAAACGAATGAACTGAGGAGGATGACTGGGAGTATATTATAACAGTGATTTTGTCTTATTTGACCCCTTATATTAGAAATTTCGACCATCCAGTAATTGTTTTGTGTAGTGTATATGCATATAATATGACTATCTGCGTGCTTCTTCGTGAGTGGGTTAAGGTTTTAGAATGAAGCTATCTGTATGTCAGAACTATGTTTCATCCTGCAATTTATGTAAAAATATATACATATTTTTTATTAGAATATAGATTTATAATTTAGTTTAAAAAACGTTTTCAGGGTGTCTTAGATTCAAGGTTTTTGATCTGATTGTTGCTGTATGAACACGGTTTACTTATAAACAGTTTTGTTTCTTTGTTTCAGAATTTTCGGGCAAAGTGGGCTTCTTGCGAAAAGCCATTCTTAAATTTGAACTGAAAGACTATAGCGGAGGCAGCTAGTCAACAGCACCCACCACCGACTCTTGAGTTGCTCTTGTATGAACGAAGAGTGGGGTTTAACTGTCGCTCTTATAACGCATCAACAGCTCCAAAATGCGAAGAGCGCATTTGCAGCAACAAGATGCAAAACATAAGCTTAATAATTTATAGTCTGGGCAAACTGACTGGTTCATTATAAACGGTTGTATTTTCGACATATATAAGCTTTATGTGTTGATTGTCGTACATGCAGACATATCTTTATGTGTTGATTGTCGTACATACAGACATATCTTCTAGATATTTTCTATGACCGAAATTTTCATTTAAGCTAAGTGTATTTTATGCAAATAGTATTTATAGAAAAATAAAATACATAACTGTTTTTTAACAACCAGTTAATAAAAACAAGAAAATTACTTGTATATTAGATAGCTTTAAGAGGTGCATTTATCAGCTAAGGATCTTGAATAAAGTACTTTTTTATAATAAATACATATTAACATGACATTAAACGATATGCCTCAAAAGTGTTTATAACAACGTTGAAATTACAATAGTATTTTATTTGACCAATATGTACCGCTTTCCCATAACACTTTGCAGATTGTGAATTGTTAATGGTTAATTATTGTATTTACCTTGCTTCTACATGTGAGACTTGCAAATAATATTAAATACAATACACATTCTATCCCTAATGCTGTGTAGGTCCTTTTCATTCATATATCTTTTTTACTGAGGTATACTTTGCCATATTCATAATGAAGTTTGTAGCATAGTTTTTGTTTGTAATTTATATGGAACGATTTCTGTTTTGGGGTATACTGGCAGATTGTGAGTCGAGCTCCCTAACCACCTGGCCATGGCTGGCCCAATTTACGTAAGACTAATTCTGATGTTAAATTTTCTGTTTGCTATCTAAATAGAAAGCATTGCAAACCGGATATACTTTTGTATATTTTTTAATACATAAATAGTTAGTTTAACTGCAATTTATCATCCTATTTGTTTAGCTCTAAAAAAGAGGCGTCTATAAGGCCTTCTGTATAATCTGTTTTTACATAAAAATAACTTACTTTTATTGGATCTCACTCCTCTTTTATTGACACCACTTACAATGTCGGTAATTCTCTTTGCCGTATTGAAACAAGCATTTCTTTTAAAGCGATCACTGAAAGGAGAATTTCTTGTGAAATGGCAAATAGTTAGTAAAGAAATTTAAATAGGGGTGAAAGTTTGCATCTTTAATGTATATAGGGGTGAAAGTTTGCATCTTTAATGTATATAGTGGTGAAAGTTTGCATCTTTAATGAAAATATCAGTCACTAAAACTCTTTTCTAACGTTTGGTCACAATAATATTTAAAAATAGCCAAACGTTCTTTCAGAAATTCACTTCACAAATAAAAGTATTTTTATCTTTTGTTTCTGTTTGACTCTTCCCTTACTGTTTTATATGATATTTTGAGAGCTTATGAGCAATTATGAATGTACGAAAGAAATTCTAAAAAAATGTTCCATAGAAGATTAATTTGAGCATTTTACAAAGAATAAATCTTTAATGTAAATAAAATCGTTACCTTAATCTTGTGATAACTTTATATAAAATATATTTATTTAAATATATTAAGTAAACTTAGCCTGTTGATAAATTCTTAGTCAATTCCATATCAGATGAGATTTCAATTAAACAAAGAGACGAAATTTGAGATAAAGCTCTCTTGATTACGTGACCGAACATTTTTGTTCTTTTGGTTTTAACAGTTGTTTGTTTATTAAAAAATAAAAAATAAAATTTTGTGGCATTGGAAACATTTTAAGACCAATTATTAAGCTATTTGATTCTTAATTTAAAATCTTAGTTAATACAATAGATAAAAACATGGCGTTACGAATGCTTTTGTTTGCCGTGAAGGTTGGTTTGTTCTTCTTAATTTTGCGCAAAGCTATATGAGGGCTATCTGTATTAGCCGTCCCTATTTTAGCAGTGATAAACTAGAGGGAAAGCAGCTAGTCAACACCACCCACCGCCAAGTCATGGGCTACTTTTTTACCAACAAATAGTGAGATTGACCATAGCATAATAACGCTCCAGTGGCTGAAAAGGCGAACATGTTCGGTGACACGCAAATTGCGAGTCGTGCACCCTAATCACTAGGTCATGCTAGGTCCCTTGCTATGAAAATTGGTATGTATTTTATATTCAAACTGCTAAGGTTATCTGCTGCCGTCTCTAATTTCGGATCTTCTGATCAGAGGAAAAGCAAACAGCCACCAGCAACCTACCACCAACCATTCAAGCTAATAAAGTATTGACCGTAACGCTTATAACCCACCCATAATTGAAAGGGTGCAAAATACTTTGTGGTATCGAACGGATTCTAGCCCGGCTCGCCAGCTTCAAAATCCATAGCTCTAACAGAGGGCCCACACGTTCACGAAAGAATCAGCATCTAAAAGGATTTAAAATATGAACGTTTTTGAACCCAACCAAGAAAAAAGAGGAAAATTTTAAACCATTACATTCTTCATGAATCGTTCTAGGTATTTAATTTTATTCACACTTATATGTCCCCCCCCCTTCCCAGTATCTCAGCGGTAAGTCTGCAGGCCTACGACGCTAAAATTCAGGTTTTAATACCCATGGTGGGCAGATAGCCTATCGTGTAGCCTTGTGCATAACAGCAACTAATCACACTTGTATTTTTTCCGTCTTACATGTGGTTCTCCCTCATTATGAGTATTCTCCTCGTGTTCAAGCAACACCTCTACCGCTTCCACAAACTCTTCGCTAATTGCGTGGAGTAAGGCGTCCTTCGTTTCCACTTTAAAATCAATCAGAAGCTCCAGCATCTCTAAGTTCTCGTTGTCTATTGCCATTAGGAGACCGGAACGGCCCAAGGGGTCAACGCAATTAATGTCGATATAACTCTTCTCGATGTTGCTCTCCAAGTACCTTCAAAAACCCAAAAATGGATAAATCCTAAACATTTAGCTACTTTTATTTACTGTTCTAGCAGACATGATTAATAAAACATTGGAATTACAAAGATCACAGCGGTGGACATTTTTTTTTAGTTGAAGAACAAATATAAGGAACATGAGAGATATATTACACATATAGTAATTAATATTTTAAAAATAAGACTAAATGGTACTGTATAAAATTGTAATTAAATATAGTAACAATTCTTTCATCTAGTCTTATTAAATTTTCAATATTACTAAACCTTAATAAAGAAATATAACTTTAGCTTTTTCGCTCACAAAAACCCACGAAGTAATTGGGAAAATGGAAATTAAACTCAATATTACTACTTGTTTGGCATGCTATGTAGAACAAGTTAACTTTACAGACAAACATGACTTCTTAATACAAGATAATTGGTTACAGATTCATCTGTAATTCCGGGTAAAACTTATGTGGTAGTCTCTATGTTACCATAACGTAAATCTAGAGGGGCCCAGTTTTTAGAACTGCTCTTTTGTTAGGGCCCAGTTTTTAGAAAATACTTTGTTTTCTCTTCGTTAGTTTGAATTTGTAAAAAAACTGTACCTACCTACGGACTGACGCTAAGTCACCTCTTTCAACGGACAAGAGGAATTTTTTCTCGTCAAACGAAAGCTGGCCCTCCCTTTTAGGGACCGAAAATTGAGCAGAAGATGAGGGGTATCTCTTGCCTTCCATTTCTTTACTTCTCGTGTTTGGTGATTTTACACCCAAGGTTTAATGGAATGATGTTGCCTTGTGGTTCTCTATAAGTAGTAGGATATCATAATTATATAGATAATAGAAACTAAAACTAATTCTTTTTTAGTGTGTAGCACAAATATTTTTCCGAAAAACATTTGATGAGGTACATGAAAGAATAAATGAATCACGTGAATATCAAATATTAAAAATCTATTGAAATTATTCAAGCAATTGATGAGGTACATGAAAAAATAAATGAATCACGTTAATATCAAATCTTAAAAATCTATTGAAATTATTCAAGCAATATTAGTCACTGTTCCCAAGTGACTTTATACTTATTTCAGAGCACTTAGTATTGGTACGATGCAGGCCAGCACCCGACTTTTCATATTTTGAGTTGTTTTCGGTTTTTCTTTGTAGCAGCTGCACGTAGCTACGTGGTGCATTTTCAAAGAGAATCCCGTTTTTTTGAAGATACTAAGGACTTAAAAAAATTTTCTGATCAATCGAATTTCAAGACATATGCTCACTATAGATCTCTTCCGATACTACACTTCTTCAAGGAGAAGACGCGGTCTATCTTATCTTTGCTGCTCACATTTGATATATTTCGTAATCGATGCTACTCCAAGAAATACTTCGAAAGCGAACAAAAAATTTTGTATAAAACCAGTACTGACATTATTGTATGAAATTAATATTGGCACCCATGTAAAAAAAACAATAGTACCATTCTTGTACAGCGCAAGACAGACACTTTTGTCTAAAAACAATGCAATACCGACATTCTTGTATAAAAAAAATACTGATACTATTGTATAAAAAATACTGACTGCTGCTGTTTATTACAGTTTGAAGTTAAGCCCAAAGCTGCACAAAGGGCTATCTATTCTCTGCCCACCACGGGTATCGAAACCCGGTTTCTAGCGTTGTAAGTCCGCAGACATACCGCTGTGCCACTGGGGGGGGGCAAAATACTCACACTGTTGTATAAAAACAATACTGCCATTCTTGTACAAAAATAAATACTGGCACTTTTCTATAAAAAAAACTATACAATACTAAAACAATTGTATAGAAACAATGTTGATATTCTCTATAAAAATACTGATAGTATTATGTAAAACAATGCTGACATTCTTAAGCAATATTTTTTGTGTAACTGTTTATAAGTCAGATGTGTTCCTTTTATAGTTTTAATGTTCACAATTTCCGCTTTTTTTTTAAGACTAGAGTAACAACAACAGAGAAAATAAATTATCTTACAGATTGCTGTTTACTGAATGAATATTCTTATAGTTGGGTTTAAATACAATTTAATGAAACCGAATAGTTATCTCTCATTATTATGGAGAAAAAGAGCGTTAATGTTACATAGTCATAAAAAATTACATTCTCAACAAGTATTTCGTATTTATTTTTATATACAGAATTATATTTACCTTATTTCTGATTACAGACAAAAAATAAGAATTGCTGGACAAACAAGATATCTTGCACATATTGGTGAAAACCAAGTGATGCGTTAAGACTGATTTTTTATTTTATTTTTTAATGTTATCCAATACCGGCGGTAATATTAAATTATCTGAACATAAACTGGAACATTTCTACGTTAAAGAGACAACATGTTTAGTAGTGACAGCCCTGCAAGTGATATACTATATTTTTGTTCGTTGTTAAGAGTATAAACATAGACTGTCAACATATCCAGAAATTCACTCCTGTTTTAATACTGTTTTGTGGCAAGTTCCCTAGAGCGTCATCTGCCATTGATTTTCTTTTTTTCCTGTCACTTGTCGGAACTAACTATCTCTTTTTCACCTAGGCTTGCGCCACCTATAATAACATGCCCTATGATGTAACTTCAGGAAAGGCAACCCTTACAAGATTAAGTGGTGGTAGACTGTCATTAATCACCAACCTTACTAAGTCCACCGTAAGAAATGTGAAGCTTCTGATGATTATAAGTAGAGATGTTTGACATGTAAAATCTCAAATATTCTTTGGTATAAAACAGCTTGTATAAACAATGATTACAGTGTAACATGATAATGAGTATATAACGAATAAATACACCAATCCAAGAGATATTTAGGAACATGATATTGGATTTAGGAAAAATAATTACCCGTACAATGGAGACCTTCAGGAACATGATAACGAATAATATTTTAACATCATTTTTTTTTTCCTACACGTAACGTCCTCTTTGATAAACGTAATAAGAAAAAGTAATCAAACCAATAGAATACAGTGTAAACTGAAATTTCAGTTGTTATAAAAATATGAAAAACCTTTCCTGCTGTAAGTGATCGTTCATGAAACGAAGTCTTTACATCCGCTACATTGATGTAGTAGAAATGCACTTTTATTAAATATATATATATATATGTGTATGTGTGTTTATACTCTTTCCCTATAAATATATATCTATATATATATATGCATGAAATAAAAGGTTATTGCAACACATAAGAACGTTTTAAAAACGACAATGGGAGAATCGTCTAAGTTAAAACAAATCAATGTTTGATTCAATGACGTACATATAAACTGCGAGATATGAAGACTATGACTGTATAAATCAAACTCAGACTGAATTTGTGAAGGGCGTCAAAGACAGAGCTGATCGTAAAGGGATCAAAAGTGTAATATTCACGAAACACGTAAAAGTTATAGATCTTTCTATTATATGTGTGGGCAAGACATTTAATGAAATGTATTGTACAACACCGAAAGCCACATTTAATATCTACGCACCGTTTTCCTTGTCGTCATTCGCCTTGCTTTGTTTCTTTATAGTGAAAACAAAAACCTGCAGTTTTGTTGAAATGAGTCATAATTATCAGTAAAAAATGACCACAAAAAACTGCCCATAAATGTAAAGATAGTCGTATTTCTTAAATTACTGGTGTGAAAACTAATTTGCATTAAATGTTCACAGTTTTGAATTCACAAGAAAAAAATAACTTCTGAAAAAATGTACATTCTGATTACAAGTTTGCTTATTTTTACTTAGGCGCAAAGATACTGAAGATACTATGTGAGTTATGACAAGCGCAGGGATCAAACCCCGAATTTAATAGCAATAAGCTCTAAAAAGTACCGCCGAGTCACCGGAGTGAGTGATTATTAGGTAGGCGGTAACACTGCCTATGTAGGGATGGCTCGAATTGTTCATCGTAATGGTATTTTAAGTATCTCAATAATTCATCAGAACTTTACAATACTATACAGTGTTTCCTTTTATAACAATATCTATGTAATGACTGAGTCACAAATTCTGAGAATGTCTGTAAATATCATAGCAAAAAAAAGTTTGAATTTCTTGTTTTTCTTCCTTCTGCTTCTTTTTATTACATGAGAACTCAAAAACCAAAACAATGGTGTCAACAATTTCAATGAAATGACCTAGTTTCAAACGAAGTATCTGCTTTTATAAGTATTATTAATAACTAGTTGTAATTTAAAATAAATCATAATTTTATTGTAAACGATGTTATCATTACTCTTTGAAGTTAGTTTTCTTACAGAAATTTAGTGTTGTTTTAAAAAGTAGAGGGTGAAAGAATTACCAGTCAATAATAAATCAACGATAAATATTACATTTGGATTCTCATTGTATTTAGAACTTGGTGATAAATACAACCTTCCTATGTCTATTGAAACACTACATTAAAACAACAATAACAAGCAAACAAGTAAAGAAAAAAAAGTAAACGTAGGATTGGCTAACATTAATCCTTCAAAAAGAATGCAAACAAGATAGTAGGGATGGTATTTACGTCATCCCTAAATAATAGCACAGGCAAGAATTAACATATAGCAACATATATAACTATTCAATCACAATTGAGTTTAATTTATCTTATTTTTGTCTGTTAACATTCTACTACACTGTGTGCCTGTGCCATTATGTAGGGATGATGCAAATGTCATCCCTACTATCTTGTTTGCAAAGATTAATAAAAATAAAGGCTTGACTTTAAGAAAATATTAAATCATAAATTTTACCGTCATACTAAATTTTATATATGTATAAGCATTTGTTTGTAGATAAGCACAAAGGGCTATCTGTGGTCTGCCCACCATGGGTATTGAAACCCAATTTCTAGCTGTATAAGTTCGCAGACATACCGCTCTGCTACTGTGAATGAGAAAGCTCTTTTTTTATACAAAGGCTTTGTTCATCAGTGGCCTCACTGAGCTCTTAAAGAAATTAGATTGGACAGTTATGTCACATTCTCTTAGGGCATGTTCAACTATACTAGACTTAATAGGATGTCTTAAGTTAACGTGTGTCTTCACTCGCGTTATCAATTTTATTTCAATAGAGCCGTTGTAGCCTTGTTGACAGCAAGGACAAGTAAATTTATATACAACAAATGATGATTTTAAAGTTGCAATTCGGTCCTTAAATCTAAAACACTGTGGTCGACAATTAGGTTTAAACACACATCTCAATGTATTTGTAGATACACCCTTTAATAATTTTCTTTAACTGATTTTTATTAAATTAATAAAATAGTTAAATACTGTTTACCCATAGACTGATAATTACAGGATTCTTAGATACTTCAAACACGTCTTGTTTATTAGCATTTCCTTTGCTTAAATAATTACGAAGTATTCTATCAATGACAGAAATAGTAAGGTCATTCGTACATAAAAATTGTTTAATATTATTAACTTATTTATGTGACTGCCTAATAATCTAATGTTCAAAACTGTCTTTCATTTAGAATGCTAGCAGAAATACCCTCCCTCCAGGCAGGAATAACTACTTGTTTCTGCGACCTTTTCTGACATTGTCTGACAGTTCTACAACAATGTACTCATACTTGACTTTCAATAATGTTCACCATCCATGAGAAAAAGGATTTTATTGAAATTTTAGTTTAAAAATTAAATATCATCACAGCATTACATCACAGAGTAGATTTTATTGAAGTATTTCTTTGTAGACACAGTTATCAATAGAAGCGCTTTGCTTTTCTGTTGCAACGCTCATGAGAATTTCACTAAAGAAAAACAAATATTTTTTTAAGTTTGTTTT